TTAGCACACTTTAATCAACATTTAGTCTTAAGTATTAATCCCGCCGTTAATACACTTAGTACTGAACATTAAACGTGTCTAAAGGTGTGTTTAGTGTATTTAATAAATCGCATTAAGTGTAACTAAACACCAATAAAATACACGATTAATCTGCCTTTACAACCGTACTAAGGGCACGCTTTTCGTCCTGTGCAAGCATGCATTATGAAATTTTGGAACACGATTGTTGATTTAAAACGTACTTCTGCAAGCTTTACATTGTCACGAATTGATAAACGATCTTCTTCAGTCTCTGGTGGCTGAAGGAAAGATAAAAACTTTCCAACAAAATTGTTTCTTTACAAAAAGGTTTTACACTTCTGAATGAATTACCATTTAATTATTTCCTCAGTGGGGCAGTTGGCACAGTTTAAGGATGAATGATGGAGTTTAGTTACCAAAGCAGTTGATACCACTTAGTCATGAATACGATTGGTTAGTCAGAATCACCTCAATGGGTTTATGTAAATAATGGCCCTCGCAAAAAAGTTTTCAAAGATTTCTTACTTCGTCAGGGCTTTCAAGGTAATAGAGCAAACCAGCAGGCTGTGAAAATCGTATTCAAATTTATTACATAATTGTTTATGAACCAAAAATTATGAACAGGAAATCTCGCATTTAAACTTTCTTGTATATTTTAGACATTAAAAACTATAACTACTTTAATACGAACATTATTCTCGCAAGTAATGTTATTGCTGTTGGATGATGCTATGCCAACAATAATGATTATAAATTACTTATGGAGTATGCTTGTTAGTCTCAATTGAACTATTTACAGATGGCTAGTATAAAGAGGATTAAAAAATCACAAGTTTTAAGATGAATCTGAGAATGTTGCTAAAATACAACTCTGGTCCTGCGGATGGAATAGAGGCTATACCTCTGCAACAATTTGTTAACTGTTTAACGTACTCGAGGTTTCTACCAGTTTCCGGACAGAACTGTTCACACAAGGTTATCTTAGCAAGTATTTACCCTATGAATTCTCAGAAGGTTTCATTTGAAAGCTTAAAGTATCATATTTCATCTGACATATTTGTTTTTGCAATTCATAACTATCCCCGTCCGGATTGAACATAATCCTAAAATTACATGCGACCGCATCGTTAAAAATTGCGAAGAACAGCCACACGTTTGGCTGAAAATCAACTAAAATACCTCGTCTGAATGATTTTTACCGGTAAAATCGATTTCCGGGGCATCTGGTTTCCTAGGATACACATATCAAAACATACAGCCCGAAAGACGCCCGAAAGACGCCCGAAGGAGATTTCCGCCCGACCGAGTGTTTGTGCAAATTCCCACATTTAAGGAAAAATATATACTTCTGGCGTATGATATTTAGTACAAAAATAGAGCAGGATTTTATAAACAAAATGGTGGTTCGCCCGTCGCTTTTGGCTAAAAAGAAACGAAGATACAGCGCTACAAAGATAAGGCATTGCATCATACTTTCCACAATGCATCTTTATGACTGAGTGAGACATTTGTTAGTTGAAATATCACGATAACTTGCCTAAAACGCGATGAAAATTTACGAAATCAACACAAAAGTAAGATTATGATATTTACTATCCAGTCGTAGAATTTTCATGTCCCAAGTATTCGTTTTGCCCAAGTTTTTAAATTTTGAATTCACCCGTCCTCGGGGACGGATATTCCAGGGCGGGTTTTATAAAGAGTGTTAATTTATCACACTAATTTGCACCTGTTCAATAGCGAACGTTTATCAGTGCTTTGCGTAAACATGGCCATGCGTAAGCGTTTTGGTAGAGCGCCCTCGGCAAGCGCCAGAACTTGTATTTTTGCCGCGGTTTCTTCATCAGCTTCCTAAAGTGAAGTTCTAACTAAATATTAACAGATGATTTTAGGCACTTCACACGATGCAGGAATATTCTTGAGGTTTTAAAGGGTCTTAATTTCGAGTGGTATTATACGCACTTCAAATTCAAGCAGGGAACAGTTGATGGAAAAATGAGTCAACTGTACGTCTTCAGTGACAAGAGCATTGCACCGGCATCGCAAAAGCGTAGGTTCGATTCCTGCCGGAGGATCTATAGTTCACTCATTTTTCCGTCATCTGTTCCTGGCTTGATTTGAAGTGTGTATAATACCACTAAAAATTAAGACCCTTTAAAACCTCTTAAATATCAACTGAACTAATATGTACATTCATCAGGGCTAAAAAAATGCAGAGCGTTATAAATGACGTTCGTCAAAGGCAGAAAATTCTCAATGGATGAATGAATGAATAAAACGTACCTCGATTATCGCCTTCAGAACCATGCCAGCACCTTTCACAATTGTTGTCGACGGATGCTGAAATTGTTGAGGAACGAATTCAAAACCACGATTGGTAAGAACCATTAGCGGGGCAATAGTAAAACATACATAAGCGAAGAAATGGTAAAATTGGTACTATTATTTAGTTTTGTCGTAAACCTACCTGGAACAATCGATAAATGCAATGACCCATTTCTAGACAAACAAATAACAGACTTCATGAGTTGCTCCTATGCATGGGTCAAGCTAGTGGACGTGGTAAACTTCACCAAAAAGGTAAAGAGAGAAAGGCTATTTAATCAACTCTCAACCTCAGTAAAAGAGCCATAAACTACCAAGAAGACAAGTTGAATGAAAAGCTCCTGAAATTTCTTTGTAGCATACCTGCAACTTTCTCCAGTAATTTCCCAAACTGTTCATCATCTGTTGTCTCACTAAGAGGAATATGCAATAGTCGATTTATTGTAACAGACTACATGAGTTGATTCAAAATATTGGAAGCAATCACACCTTACTATTAGTTTAACATGAATGTCCAACTTCACCCCCGTATTATTTTAATATATTGCAAAGCAACTAGAACAAACCTGTAAGGAGGACACAGAGCAAACGTCAGAAAATCAAGCAATCCACTTATAACTAAAACCCCAGTAGAACGAATATAGAAGAAAAGTTTTCATGGTTAATCTATTTCTTGTGTTTAGTTAGAAAGGTAGTTCAAATTAGAAAGGCAGTTGCTACGAATCACTTGCTGGGTTTTGCAAGGGAATTTCTCTTCCAAAACAAAGCTATATACATACAAGAGGGATGGAAAAATAAAATGCAAGGGTTCAGCATAGATTATAGGCAACCAACACCGCACATCTTACCACATTTATCGTGAGAATTTCCAACAAACTGCTTAGAAATTTTTCAGAGGATAACAAAGAGCTTTTGTTTATCTGTTCTTGTCGAATGTCATAGTTATCGTGCGTTGGCTATATAAAAAAACAGAATTGGTTTCGATAAAATTGGATCCTGTTAACATTCAGATTTCAAAGTTGGCTGAGTTTATGTGGATTGCAAGTTAAAGGGGTAACACTAATGACAGTGACAGATTTGGCAACATATTACCAGGAAATTCATCGTTAAAGTGTTGGCGCTTTCCTTTATACGGAAAAAACGGCCAGACCGGTCCTATTGTTGATCTCGGTACAGACAGATTACTGGTATTTTAGAGTGTTTCAAGAACTCTGCGTTCAAGTATATCGTTACTTGCATCTGTCTAGCTCGGAAATTTCGCAACTATATTCTTAACGAAATACTCTATTTTAAATTTAAATATGACCGGTCTGACCATTTTGGCCGCTTAAAGGAAAGCCCTCTCTTTACCTGCATCAGAGCACACAGCATGTCGACAGCGGCGTGAGTCACGGCTTCATTATTCCTCTTCAAAGCTTTCACAGTTTTCACACCAACCTTCTCATAGAAGCTGTAAAAACAAAACAGAAACACGGTCTAGAGAAAGTGAGCTGGTTGAGTAAACAGCGTGTGTTATGGTTAAAGATAAACGTTTCTCACCTACTGAGCGTTGTGAAACCTGCTTTGGATCCAACCTAATGTCTCAAAGCGTGAAACAGTGCTTCGAGATCTTTATCTGATATTTTGTTTTGGTCTCCTGCAAATAGACGAGACATTTTAACTATTTTATGTATATATTGAACACCTGTGAAGGTAATAGCAGTCAGAATATGTATATTTTAGGGTTGAACACTAAATATATTTATTGGCAAAGATATACCTTCGTGAGCAATGAGCATTGTGATTGCATTAATGATAAGTCTTTCTTTATTCTCCGGGAAAAGTCCTTACAAAATATTTAAAATCGTTTGAAATATATATTGGAGTTTAAAAGACTTAATATTCCAGCCGTACTTCTGGCGAGAAAATTTCAAATCTACCATTTCATGGATTCGGACCCAGTCAACTCAGCAACCAGAGTTACCGCAGCGTAGTCCCTAGGCCTCTTAACGTTCCTTATACGCGGCGAGGCGGGAACTGAGAGGCCTAGAACAAAATGTTTTGTATTTTGGCTAAAGTGGGGACTTTTTGTCCCCACTTTCTGTATTGAGGTCAGTTTACGATCCACGACGCGGTTAACTGGCCTTGTTCGACGTCGCTAGTCAAATATTTGCTTGAAATAACCTACGGGATATTAATTATACTGTCAGGACTTCGAAATATTCATACAAACGTTTCAATGTCATTTGCTGTCGACGCTATCGACTATCAAGTAAACTCGAGTCCATACGTACATGGTTATGATTATAATAAGCTTCAATCTGCCAATTTAAATTATTCTCCCTTCCTTTATAACGATTATTGTTGTAAATCTAGGTCAACTAATGCATACTAAAATATGCAGAAAACTAACGTGCGTATGAAAAACACGTGAGTGGAAAACAGCCTTAATCCAGATTTTGACAGAACATTAAAACTCAGTAAAAATGCAATAATATTCTCTACACAGGATTTTGTCTGCAGAAAAGTACAAAATAAGAAATTGTCAACTTACGTCATGGGTGACTGCATGAAGTAGACCGCTGTAGGAAATATTGCAGTTAAATCTCTACACATCTTCGAGAGAATATTAGAAAAAACCCGAAGGCGTTGCATGTTCATTACTCCAGTCATCGTTTAAACCTTATTGTTGCCAAAGCGTGTTCAATTCTTCCAGTGAAAAATATGTTGAGTCAGGCACAAAATATCGCCAGCTTTTTTATCAGATTCCCTATCCGCTCACAGTATCTAAGTAAAAAGATGAAAGAGTTTGGTTTAACCCGTAACAAGCTCGCAAAGCCTTCCACGACACGATGGGTAGAACGAATAAGATCCCGCGATGGTTGTTTGGATGCATTCAAAGTTATCTACGAAACACTCAATTTTATGCAGTTTGGAGGATCGCAGGAAGGGCCATTTCCTAGATTAGCTAGTGACGCACAGTCTCATTTTCGCAACGTGGAGAAATTTGAATTTATGGCTGCTCTCATTATCACCCAACATGTTCTGGATCATACTTTGTCATTGACGGTCCAATTAAAGAAGAAAAAAAAATCGATATTGCGGAATCAATAAAACAGATTAATCTTTTAAAGGATGAAATGGCAAAACTACGTGCCTCTGTAGATTTATTCCACAATGAATACTACGACAAGCTGTTGGAATTAGCTAATAACCTCGACGTGGCTGAGTGTTTTCCCCGGGTATGTAAAGCTCAACAAAATGTGATAATCATCGTACCAGTACAGCAGGTGGTTACAACAGATTAACAGTAACCATTAAGAGTCGTGCATAGGTCACGTGATAACGAAACATTCTGAGCTCATCAATGAACAATTGTAAAGGTTTTATTGTAACTCATAGGAAAACCTAAGGATATATTTGTAAAATCTATTATATTACGAGTGTCTTTCCCTAAGTCTACCGACCCCTGAATTCCCCACGCTATCGTCACCCTGTAATAAATAAGTAACGTTGCAAGTCCTCACCTTCAACCACAAGGATTAAATTACGTAATTCGAAGTGCAAAATTGAGATTACCGGTTTCTGAGTTTACCGGTTTATAATGCTCAGTATTTAATAATCCGTAAGACCAATTTATCATTATTATTACTTGACTTACGGATTCATTAAGTTTATCCTCGTCTTAACTCAAAAAGTTTTCAAAGGACTTGCATCCAGAAGGGATTTACCAGGAACAGGCTAAAATTAAACAGATGTTGAGATTATTGCACGATGATGATTCGTGATCTTAAAATTGCTACCTTTTGAAACTCTTCACGAGTTAATAAGCCTTGACTGTTCCCTGTGAAAGAAAAATTGGTAAATATAGTCATATTAAAATATATATTTCCTCCATATTGCAAAGGTAATTTCGCTTGCCTTCAGTTTCTTCCTTGTGTAAAACAGTGTCTTTGGAACCTGGTACGACATCAATCTGAAACGATTGTAAAATGAAAAAGCTAGTCTAAATCAAAGATCTCTTTCTTTTCTGCTTCCCCTGCCAGTCATGTTAGTAGCAATGTAAGGGATGGATAGTGAATGTTCTTGCACGAAATAAATTTCATGCAAAGCGAGTTTGAAGAGAAATTCTTACCATAAAAGCGCTTGGTTCATATCTCGGCCTACGACTCAAATATCGAGTTCGTTGAACAAATGCCGAACCAAGATTCAACTTTTGACCGGAATCTTGTAATAAAATCGACGAGGGTGAAGATCTGCCGTGTTCTGTAAGCAGCATCTTTTGTTCTGCGCTGTCTAAAATGCAGGCAGATAATTTGTTCATTTCGTAAATGCGCGAACAATGGCCGATCTGTTTTAACATTACAAACCTGACTCCTTGAGTTCGGTTTTCTTCATTTCAACATCATCCCGGGTATCTTCAATATTAGTTTCCTCATCTTCTCTACACGATGCGAGGCGATCTTTGACAAGATCTACAATCAATGTACGCTGTCTGTGCTCTTGCTAAGAAGTTCTGTTGTAGTTTCAAGGCGTTGTCTGGCTCCTTCTTTAATGAGTTCGGCCGATAAATCATCTGAAATACAACAATATCAATTTGACATTCCGCCAACAGAATGCCCAACCGAAACATTGAACAGGTTTGACCCATCGTTGACAAGTTGTGGGCGAAAACATTCAGAGCACAATTTGACTGAGAAAATAAATGGGCTTACCAAAGAGTTGTTTTGGAATTAAACTTTCATAAATCTCAGTCTTTCCCACCGCTGGTCGTCACAAGATGTTTGAGTCACAAGATTTCTGTACTGAGCATACGGTACCAGTGGCCTTTAAATCGCGGGTAAGAAGGTCAGATGCTTTGGTATCGAATTTTGTGTTTGGCACCTGGCTAGAATCATCTGCACGAGTTTTGCTATCAGTTGAAGAAGCCTGGAAATGACAAATACGTTCCTAAGAGCTTTCACTAGAAGAATATTAAAACTTGGTCGCTCTTGCAAATATATCTTTGAAAATTCAGCAAGCAATCCCCGTGGCAATAGAATGACATGTGGACTTACTTTCGTAATAAATGGCACGAATTGTTTTCTTAACAATAGCGGACAGTTGACAAACCAGGATGGAATGACATTATCAGCAAGAGCTACAGTGTATTGAGAGTATCTAAGGTGAAACATATCAGTTCGTTTATATTTTAATCATTTTGACAAAACCAATAATAAAAAGTTTCAGATGTTATCGCGTTGAGCCAACTTCGATGATTCTGTGTAAGGCAAACATATTCCAAAGACTTGTTTCAACTGGATCGCTGTGAAGTTTTTGTACAAAGCACAAAGCTGTTACAATGCGATTTAAACGATTTAAAAGAATGCTACCAACTTTTCGCCGAATACGATTGTGTGTTTACACAACCTAGCTCTCTTTAGGGGGTACATTGATATTTTGTAACAGATTTCATAATTTACGTAACTTCAAGAAACATACCAGAGGGAAATTCTAGCAGTGGTATGGCAACTTGAGTCGTTGGCGAAAGTTTAGTAAACTTTTCCAGATATTGTGGGAGCAGTCTAAGGACAGAAGATTTAGTAATTATTACTTAAAAAATCATATATTTGTGAAGGGGTATCTCGCATCACAAGAGACGTTACGTTTAGGCTGGAGTTTAGAAAAACGTTTCTGTAAATTCACTGAGCACATCATCAAGGCACGATTTCAAATATCTCCAAAGAAATAAACTTCTAAAACGCTGCAACTACTTAAATCAACTTCATTCTTACAAAGTGCTAATGGACATAAAAAACGTCTCAAATTCCAGACTATTTTAAGTAGCCATACCTTGCCATAACTGAAGGCATTTCTAACATACATATGGTGAGACAAGATACGCTTAACGTCGCGAAATGAGCAACCAAGTACGCATTAGACAACACTAGACGAAATATACAACAACGTTTAAGCAAGAACAGACAACCGCTGAAAATAAAGTCCCGCAGATTCTTACCTTTCATCTTGACCAATAAAAAGTGGTACGTACACAGCTCCGTTATTACCTGCACGTGTTACAATAAAATATCCAATTAAATCATTAGTATGGTATGATATAATTATGGTATAAATTGGTTATGGTATGGTGTGATATAATTATGGTATGATATGCATGGTTATGGTATGGTATGATTTCGTTATGGTATGGTATGGTGTGATATTATTATGGTAAGATATGGTTATCGTATGGTATGATTTAGTTATGGTTAGTTATGGTATGATGATTGATATGATATGATATGATATGATATATGATATGATTATATGATATGATATGGTATGGTTATGGTATGGTATGGTTTTGGTATATTTATGGTAAGATATTATGATATATGCAAAAAACTGATTGATAAGAACCGTACTGGAAAAATTCTAGCGTACAAATGAGGTCGGCGCATATCATGAGGAACACGAAATAATCCAGGAAGAAAATCGTAATTTGAAACCTGAATGCAAAGTAAAATTTTTAGTTCATGATTTTGGTGTGAAAGTACACAACTTCACTTCCCTTCCCATTTTAGAGAAGACTGTAGATATTGAACGTAAATATTGCTTTCCAGAAAGTATCAAGTTTTTATCTTGCAGTGCCTCTGGAAAGTTCCTCAGAACAACATCAACACCTCCCATTCCAATTCCTAGAAAATGAAGAAAGTTGAACTTCAATCTTAATGCCAGATGATATATTATGATAGAAAAGTTTACCTGTTGTAAGCACACAAGAATAACATTCATCGCCTCGCTGTAAGGCAGTGAAACAATCCCGTTTGTCTTATCTTCTGCAGAACTAAAACAAAAATGAGAATGTATTACGCAAACAAGAAAAGGATTTTGGAAGCAGAATACCTGACATACGTGGCACTATCGTCATTAACCAACCTTTTCTTTCAGAACAAACAAAATACGAAGTGAATTAAACTTTTCTACTTTTGTCTTGCACAAGGCCTAGACGTTGTCAGCTCGCAGACTGAGGAAACATTGAAGAATCTTTAAGAAAACACAATGTGAGACATCAAAAAAATCGCGAGAAATAAAATTGAATTTGCCTTACCGAAAGCCGTATTTCCGATGCACTATACGTCCGATAGCCATTGTCATAATGAGTTTTTATGTGGTACACTAATATATTGAATATTCGTTCGGCTCGTTTTGAGGTTTACGAAACAATTTCATCTGCAAAAATAGAATGAAATTACTGAAAGAGAAGCAAGTGTGGCATTAAATTACACTTATTTTTGTTCACGAAAATAACTTCATCACAATGAACGAATATGTGTGGACAATCTCTGCATGTCCTTCATTACCTTGAACAAGCGTACTAATCCTAATACAGCCTCTTTGATGTCTTTCTATGCTGTTTCATCCTGAGGCTGCAGCAAAAAAGACAAAATACAGTGATTAGATGTAATTTTATGTCTCTAGATGTTCGTACATATACCTTGCAGTCTCTATAATTACCTTACATGTTCTTTACATGACGGCTTAACGTATCGTTTGAGAGGATCAACTGGACAGTGGCAATCTGGAATTGATAAATGAAATATATATCCTTTTACTTCACTGATGCGTTTGCATTCACGACCCCCGTGTAAAACGATCCAATTTGCGGATATATAGTTAGGTTCAGGTCAGGAAGCTTTCACTGATAAGAAAGAGTTTTCTATTGAAGTACAGTATCAGCTCATCACGAATGAAGAGGGAAATTGGAGTGGAGAAATGAAACCGTCTGAAAATGATTGTATTGAGTACCTTCTCGATTATATGCAAAACATCGCAAACTTTCGGTGAATCAGAGGATTCAATAATATCGACCAGAAGCTGGACAGCTCGGATCCGCACAGAAATATCCCGATCTTTGACAATGTGGTCTAAATGTGACAACACTGAATTCTCAAGTATTTCTTCCTGTAAAAAACAAGGAGTTATAAAACTAGAAAAAGATTCATAATATCGCTAATGTCTAGAAAAATGGACTAAAATTTATTCAAAGTACTAAAATTTTATACCTCATATAGTGGAGATAACGTTCCTAATATGTTACAAAGCACATTTAGAGCTTTAATTCGGTTGGCCGTCCTCTCTTCACATCTAAAAAAAATTCTCATTAGGATAAGACTGAGGCTACATAGAAATACACCACGAACTTAAAAAAAATCAACATACCAAAATATTACATTTTTACATAACAAAATATAAAGAAAAAAGAAGACCACACACTTGAAGTATTTCTCCACCAAATCTTTAATATTTTCAAACCAGTTTTCGCAGTAAGGATGAAGAGACTGGGAACGATGAGAAACCAGGAGAATAACTGGATTACTGCAAACAACGACATTTCATTTAGCTGCAAACAACGACATTTTATTTAGCTAAGTGAATTCCGTTAGATTTCATATATTTTATTAATTTTGTCCTCAAAGAAAGTCATAAAATTGTTAGCTAGATTCTCATCAGATTGCACACAGAAATTGAGAATCAGGGGTATAATGTAGTAACTTTCCAACGGTTTTAAATAATTTCTTTTGGTCACTCCCATTATCTCTAACAATTTCAGAATAATAACGAGTACGACTTTCCTATAATAGCTCACTGACACGGCGACATTGCTGACTGTATTTTAGACGATCACAGGATTGTCTTGACTTACGCCATACC